TTACAATTGACATTAAATATTATATTAGTTCCAGATGTACAGCACAGACATTTATATAATTTATAAACTTATACCCCTAGTAATTTTATTACCCACCTAGCCCCGCACAGTTATTACAGTATTATTAACCATGTTCCCTATGCCACACTTTACATCTCCATAACTATTTTGTAACTGCCAATCAATCTTAGTACTTTAAACAGTACCAATAGGTGGATAACTATTAATCTAGTTAATTCTCCTATAACTACTTACTACCTTATAGGCTTACTAGAAGAAAACTTTGTTTACTAACTATGTTGGGATTCACATCATAAATAAGGAAAATAATTGTCACGGGGCAATAATTATCACCCCCATCACCTGAGACAGTACCTTCACTTCATCCATACACATGGGTTTATCACAAGCACTCGCTGAGCACCTGAGAGAGGCTGGGCTATGCTAAGCACTACAGATACAATGGTGAATGGTGCCTGCCCTCATGAACTCAGTCTAGTGAAGGCTGAAGGAAAGTAGACTACATATAAGAAGAAAGATAACTAAATGACTTTCTAAAAAGTCTTCCTGTAGGTCATTGGGCACACAGGGATTTGCACACATGGGCAATTTACAGAGAACTCCACGGCGTCACTTCAGATTGAGGCGAGGAGTCAACAAAAACTGCTTACATCTCATTCCCAGGGGCTACTGTTGCAGACACACAGTCTCAGACCCGCAGCCCCGGCCTCCAGGCCCACGGCATTCTCACCAGACCCTAAGCATCCCCTTCAATACACAGCCCAGAGAACCATAATGCAGACTGTCCCAAGCTTTAAATCTTAGTCACATAGAACACTCACACTCATCCTGCAGAAACTTGTTTTCAAATTCTTATCACCAAAAGCTCCCTTGTAACCTCCTGTACTAACACAGGGAGCAGCCTCACTTTTAGAGATGGAAATATCTCATCTAACACTTGTGCTCTCACTGCATTGGGGACATACCATAGAACTGTGGGTTCTTATTTCATCCAACTCCTTGAAAAGTCTGTGAATTATACCCCAAGTCTTCACTGTATAAAAAGAAAGTCTCTTTGCTCACAACTCTGATCTCACTTCCAGAGTTCCTCTAGGAGGCACCTCTTGCCTTGGACTCCACAACCTCTGTCTTCTTCCTCTGCTCACCTTGTGCTGAAGCAAGAGCCTCTTATCATGACTGAGCAGGTGCTGATTAGGGAACAATCATCCATTTGTAGTTTGTGCATTTTCCCTCTTCTGCTTTTGCATGCGTCCTTCCTGCCTTCCAGGCTCACCTCACACCCAGCCTTCTCTGCAGTTGCATTTGTGATTGAGCTCATTCTCCCAACTTCCTCCTCCAGCACACATACCTGTCGCTCCTGTGAAGCTTAATAATGTTTTCATAGTTTCAGCAATGTGTCCTGGCTGCAGACATACCAGAACTCTCTGAGAGCAAGAACAATGCCTCGTACTGTTTGTCTTCTCAGCACCAGCACCAAGACCATCCACCACAGAGACAGAGAGCGCCTAGTCCCCTCACTAAACCACAGGAAGTCCCTACCCCACACCCACCACTCCCCAGCACTTCTAGGCAGAGGCTTGTCTTATGATCCACTTGGAGTTCAGCATTAGTGGCTGAGTAAATCTCAAGTAAAGAACCCAAGGTCATAGTGAGTGAACACACACACAGAGCAATTGCATTGCAAGAACCATTTCACCATCAAGTGCATGTACTGTAAAATCATCAAAGCTTAAAATTCTTGGCTCCCCGGGTGCACAGGCTCCACTCTCAGTGCCCTGGGAATAGGGTTGGCAATGTGCTCACGTGGTTATATGCTTTTGTACAATTTTCAAAAGGAAGGTATTTTAACAACAATTGTTTCTTTCCTTTCAGACTCCCACCACATCTTACCTCTTCTCATACTGAGTGAGGTCATTGGAGTGATCACAGATAAGTGTGTGGTCTCACTTAAGGGAAATAGAGTGGCATTATGTTTATGTGAGATCTGTCTAGGTGGCTTGAGGTCACTTTCATGAATAGCTAAGTGACTGCTAGCCATCCACATGTTGGATGGGCTCCCAGAAATACTCCTACCGTAGACAGTGGCAATTCAACCAGACATTGAGACATGAAAGTGTCAGCTCAGAGATGCTTTTACAATAGGAGCATGTCCTACTGCCCCCAATACCAAAAATATAGAGATAGTAGAGAGAAAACAAGGACCATATGCCAGAAGCTAGTCTGTGGAGAATTCTTCCTGTCACCAGATACGTGAAATTACAAATTCAAGATTGGGTTCTCCCCCGGAAGGAATTTATTTGATAATGCAGCATTGAAAATAATAACTACATCATGTGTTTTTTTCTTTTTTAATGGGAATCAAATTAAAAAAGAACTACCCAAATTCTTACATTTGTATAGGAGAAACCTGTAACAGTATTAGAAGTAATGAGTATGCCCGTGACAACCCATACATCAAAGAAATTTTATAGCAGTTTCCCACTAAATTTGACATCAACCTGGAAAATGTCTAAGATATCATCAGAAAAAGTTTGTGGAGCTGAAAAAAAGTTCAGTCACAATATTATAATAAGACTGAATTATCTTTTTATTCCCTCTAGAGAAAATGGTGCTACAAAGAGACAAAGATTATAGAGCCAAGATGTAAGGGGAAAGCATTGTGGAGGTGTATGCCAATACACCTGTTGTTTTGTTAAAAATATCATTTTCCTGGGAGTATCATGCTTGTGGTGCTTTTCAGCCATTTCATTGTTGAAATGTGTTGTGATTCCTTTTCTCCTTCTAAATAAGTGAATATTCACACCTAAGTTAGAATTTTCGGGTTTTTTATAGATAACATTTTTTAAAGATTTTGTTTATTTATTTATTTTTAGAGAGGGAAGGGAGGGAGAAAGAGAGAGAGAAACATCAATGTGCGGTTGCTTGGGGGCCATGGCCTGCAACTCAGGCATGTGCCCTGACTGGGAATCGAACCTGCGACACTTTGGTTCGCAGCCTGCGCTCAATCCACTGAGCTATGCCAGCCAGGGTTAGAATTTTCAATTTTGTTTTTTTTCTCTTAAAGAGGGTCTCCCAAAATTGTATGTATATAAGACCCTAAAAACCTGGATCATCCCCAAAGAAAGATGTATGTGCCGAGTACAAGCAAGGGGTTGGTTTATATCTTGCTTTATTTGGGTCCAGGCCCAGCTGGTGTGAGGGGTTTCCTCCAAGTATAGGCAGAGTTCATATTGCAGCCCAAAATGAATGAAAAGTAAGTTCATCTTCAGAGAACTATCGATAGTATCAGAGGACAGGGAAGTCAGTATTACAGATGCCTCTTTTGGCCTCCGCTTTGTCCTCTCCCGCAAAGATACAAGATAATAAGAATCCCAGTCAAGGTAGTGCACCTTTCTTCAAGGAGAATGGAAAATCATCTAATCAATTCAGTAGCTGCCATCACAGCTGCGTATTGTTAAAAGTCCTGGAGGACTGATAGATATTGAACCATTTTCCAAAGGCAAAGTTACTGCTATTATATAATAATCTTGAAACTGCTCTAGATCATGAACCCCTTCCAAGTACCCCTGCTGCCATGCTTCCATTGGTGCTCTTGGCAAAGTCCCTCCTGCCCACTCCCTCCCTATTTACCCATCTTAATAACCCAAAGGAAGGGGACCTCTGAATGAGAGTGCAGGTGACATCCCATGCCTTTCCTTCCCTAAATAGCTATCCAGTTATTCTCAACCAGCAAAGACTACCCTGGGGAGACGCTGTAAAGTTATTGTGAGCCCAGGAAACCTGAGGAAATCTCCCATTGTTGGGGAGAGTAAAATAATAATGACCTTCACATTTCAGCAGTGTATGACTATTTTAGTTTTTAAGGACTTTCCCCAAATCTTTTGATTATGTTTTTAACCTCAGAAGGAAAAGACAGAGACTCTGGGAAACCATGACCGTGAACAACTGCTAAAATCAGAGAGCGCCATAGTACAAACATCTGATTAAATAGCCACACAATTAATATTGTCAGTTTTACATGGCAAACCCACTTGCTAAGAATGAATGCCTCTGGATGATTTTTAGCAAAATATGATAAAGCCTCATTTCCATGAACACATTTAATGCAAACCTTCCAGAACCTTATTACTAACATTTCCCTTTCTGCAGGCCTGTGTGTGTCCCATTAAGCGTCTCTTCCTCCCTGATCCTCTGCAGTGTGTGGAACTTTCTATCTTCAAGTATCACTCATGCTACCCGACCTCCCAGGGACGCCCTCCTGGTCCCTGCCCACCACGATCTACAGCTCTCAAGAGTGCATCTCACCTTTTTGAAACTTTCCTTTAAGCTTTCTTCTCCCCATCTCTATCTGTAGTAGATTTATATCTATGTGATGTGTTGGAGATTTAAGATACTGTTGTTCTAAATTACTATTTAATATTGTACCTATTGTTTTTATGCTCTACTATATTCAGACATTTATGTAATATGGCTAAAGAGAGACAAACTATACAGCAATATATGAATAAATCAAAATTAACTTAAAACCAGAAACAGAGAAATCCACTTGGTACACACTCTATTAGAAGTGGGAGGGGAGAGGGAGGAGGAAACAAGAAGGGGAAAGGGACATGGGGAGACATGTTTATTGCAATCATGAACAGAAATTTAGAGGATGACAAGTCTCTGTTACTGTTTCATGAGATTCCATAACCCTTCCTAAACCTGAAGATTTTGCAGTTACATTGGCTCCAATACAAAGAGAAAGCTTTGTTTGCCGGGCCATGGAGGGAAGAGGGCACGTGGTGAGACCCGTGGGAATGGTGACTAGGGCAGAGAGGTCTGCAGAGAAGCCCCCAGGGAAAACTGCCATGTTCAATCGACTTTTCTAAATGTTTCGGACTCTCAAATCATTAGTCCCCAACTGATTCCTGCTTTCTTCAGAAAGAACTGCCCGCCAGGTTTTTCACTTAACGGTCTCTCTTTGCCCTTTCTCTTAGGTCTGCTTTGTGAACCTGGACGTGAACAAGGATGAGTGCAGCACAGAGCACCTGCAGCAGGTATACACGCTGGGTGGGGACTTGGGCTCTCCGAGAGCTCACTACAAGGGCAGGTGGCACAGGCCAGAGAACCAACATTACTTCACCGCTCAGTGATGCTCATTCCGTAGGGGGCTCATTCATTGGGTGGTTTTCCCACAGCCCATTTCCCTGACCTCTTTCCTATATGCCTCCCATGTAGTTTGCCCACCTTGTGTTTATGAAATTTGCTTCCCCACGAGACAGGGCTACTCTCAGAGCAGGCACTTGGTCCTGCCCACCAGTCCCTTAAAGTGGCTTTTTCTGCTCCCCCTTTCTCCACTTTCAAGCACTCTGTCTGAGATGACTTTTCTAAGGTTTTTCCAAAACTTGCTGGGTACCAACCAGCCCTTTCCTCTGGCTCTCAGAGTTGCTGCTTCCTGCTGATTTTCATCATCAGATGTTTCACCGCTAACCTTGCTCTCGCAGCCTTACACTTGTCTGGCACTCAAATGTTTTGCTCTGTGCAGCAGGTGAGTGTTGTAAGATCACCCAAGGTTGTGAGGGTCCAGACGTCAATCCTCAACAACACACAGGGACTTGAAGGCTCACCTGGTCCTTTGAACTAGAGCCTGTGGACACAATAGGAAGAATAATTGGTGTGATATGATTACCATTTTATGCCCAAAGCTGAAGATGGTTTGATCTCACTCTCTGGTATAATCTCACTCTTTGGTTTAATGCTTTTATTGTAGAACAGTACACCACTTGCAGCTTGAGTACCACAGAACAGTAGACCTGCAATTATTTACTTATTCTTGTAATGTCTTCCTTGGAAAGGCTTCATCGAAAGCTTTCCACCAAGCTCTGAGTACCATTTATCTGTGTAGTACGGGAAGGATTTTCAAACTAAGTTGTGCATATGATTGTATTTGATGGAATTATGGTGCAGAGTTCATCCCAGAGAGATGTCAGAGCAAGTTGGCATCTTAAGAACTGTGTTTGGAGATTTATGAGTGATTTGAGACTAAGAGAAGGCACTTTGGCCCTGACTTAGCTACATCCACTTACGTGAAGTACAAATCTTCTCTGAGCCTCACATTACTTAAGTTTAAAAAAAAAAAAGTAATAATGGTACCTAATCAATGTAGAGATGTTGTAGGGATTAAATGTGGTAAATTGTATAGCATACATGTATGTACAGACTTTAGCTAGTGCCTAGTACATTGAGCCAGATGAATGCTAGTAATTATTTTATTACTAGTATTATTATTGACTTTATTAGAATAGATGATTATTAGTCAACAAGTCTCTTACTCCAGGACTTAAGACAAAAAAAAATGTCTAAACTACTAAATATACCTTGGCATGACCATAATCATTAAATGCTTACCTTTGGAAATTTAGTACTAAAATTTTTTTAATCTTTGTGTTTAAGGACTTTTATATTCTAATCTAAACCTTTATGCTTCAGTTTCACAAGATCTCTTTTAAGTAATATTTTTAGTAGAATAAGTAATCTATAGTATGAATAGTTATATAAGTATATTACTTTTGCAGAAATAGTTTTGGGGTAGTGTTCTGAAAGTGAAAAGAAATTATCTAACTAATTAAGATTTTGCTCTACAGAAATTGGTCAATGTTTCACCAGATCTCCCAAAACTTATCAACTCCATGAATGTCCAAAAACCAAAAGAAAATGAAATTGTCCTCCTCAGTGGGTTAACATCTGGAAATCTCCAGGCAGATTTTAAAGTTTCACAGGTAAGATGAACAAGCTCTTTACAAGGTGTTTATTCACAGTTATTCATTAGTGATAAGTTTTCTATAGTTGGCTCCTGGCAAATATCAATATGAGCTCCAAATAGACACCTCACATAAACTCTTCTAGCCTAAAGATAAAAAGTCTTTAAATAGTTCATTTGCATTTCTCCCAAATATGCCACTGAGAGCTTGACAGACCTTCTTTTACATCAACTCCTGACCTTTATTATTTTCTCAAGTTCATGGTGTTAAGTGTCACTTAAACCAGAGTAGACACACTAGATATTCATTGGTTAGCTTGGTTTTCTACTACCTACTGAGTAATAAAAAACAGAATTATCTTCTGTTTCGAGAACAATACCAAAATTTGAATTCATATTATGTGGTCCCTCAATGCCACAGTTTCTTTCTTTCTGGATGTCACTTATTTCCCAGAATGCACCCAACAGCCAAGTAATACATAAAAGATAGCAACCCCCAGGATGCAAAGGGAGTTTCCTGCTCCCAAGGAATGAAATTCCCAGAAGAAAAGAATGTTACGAAAGATAAAGTAGGAATTAAATGCTATTATTCTCATTCAACACATTGATGCCCATTGTTATTAGATAAATCATTTTATACTCTTTATTTGAACAAAAATAAAAAAATTAACTTTAATCAATTTACAGAAAAAATATAAAAGATTTCTAAAGGCACACTGTATAAAAAAGTATTAGTTTTTTTCAAATAAGATATGTGGACAGTGATAGCTACAGGTTAAGATAATGAGTATTTGTTTTCCTTTAAATTGTTTTTCCTTGGATTTTAGTTTTGCCGAGAATTTTTAAATACTTTATTCTTCAGTCTTTCAAAATATCAAAAAATTCAGAGGCTTACCCACTATTTCTTGCTCTACTCCTGATGCTTTGTAAACATGTACAAACAGCCCATTTCAATTTGTTAATCAAGACTAGAAAAAAATATTCCTCAAGGTCAATCTAATAATATATTTCTTTAATGAGAAAATTAATTATCTGAAAAGAGAACACAGAAATGACTCTAAATATTCTCTCTTTATATTAGACAAAATTATGATGACCAAAAGTAACTTACAAACTTGAGTTTTAAGAGTATTTCTGGACCAGACCTATTAGTTAAAATTTCTAATTCAGCATGAGAGAAAATTGACTTAAGCAGAAAGAGAATGCATTTTCCCATGTAACTAAAGAAAGCAATAAGTAGATTAAATACAGGCACTTGAACAAAGTCATCAGACGTGGATTTTCTCTTGTGGTCTCTCTCTTGCTTTCTCTCTCTTTATCCTATTATTGGGCAAGTTCCTCCCACTAGGAGGCAATATTCCTTTGGGTTCAAGTTGAGCAAGAAAAAGTGAATGTTTTTTCCAGGTGGCTCCCAGCAAAAGTCTCATTATGTCCTATTGGCTCTCACGTGTCATGTGCCTATTTATGAACCAATCACTGTGGTCTGAGGAATGCCATATCAAATTGGCCAGGCTTGGGTCACGTGATCACCTCTGGACTTGGAGGTAAATTAACTTCATGTGAATGTGAATTGTTTGGGCTATGAGTATGCCAGAAAATGGCAACCCACAGGGTTAGAAAACGAAAAGAAGGTCGAATGATATTTGGTCACAAAAACAGCATCTATGTTCATTAGGGAAAAGAAGAGTAAAATAGTCCAGAACTCATTGAACATCATCCATCAAAAGCATATTTAAAACTCTGCATACTTTTTCTAAAAGCTGTCAAAATAGCCTGTGAGCTACAACAGAAACACTTCAGACATCTTTTTTCCCAAGGGTCCCCCGTCACTTCCTGTGGATCACTTCACCCACAGAAAGGCTAACTGGTCCTTTCAAGGTCACACACATGTAAAGTGCAAGAGCCAGCATTGCAGGCCAGGTGTGCTGGACTCCAATTCCCGTATCCTTTCCAATTCTCCCCATGGCCTCCTGGTCCAGCCAACAAAGACCCAGCATCCACGGAAGACATGTGCAGTTTGGAAGGGATGGCGGGTTGCACCTGGACCTCCTCAAACTCAGGTGTGCTTAGTAGATTATGTCTTCACCTCATAGAAAGGACAGCCACAGGAGTAGATTTGTGGTATATAATAAGCATCTTGGAAAAATGCTTTTCTGTAGGAAATTAACTGATTTTACTTGTATGTCCCACTTAGTATTTTACTTGACTGTTGGCTATTGTAATGATCATTTTTCTTAAGACTTTTTAGAGTCTTTTCCTAAGACTCTACTGAGGACAATTTGAGGAAGAAAAGCTAACTGTCGTGCCCCCTCCTCACTGGGTGTGCCCTGGTTTGTATTCATTAGTCTTCTGAGACACATGCACATGGACAGCTGTGTACGTGTTTGTAGAGATTTAATAATTTCCACAAGAAATAAGATTCAAGAGAATACCAGACTGTCAGGAAGGAGTTCCATGTGAACAAGATGTCCAACTTACTTACCACTGTATCTGAACACCTACAAAATAATTTAAGTGCTTAGCGTTTAGTAGGTGCATAATAAATATAGAATGAATCCACATGTAACTAAATGAAAAACGTTATGAATATTTTCTTTCATTTCTCCAAATATATAATTTAATTGTAAAATAGTATGCATTATTAAAAAAAAAAAGATAGAGTCACTTGCTGAGTGGCTCAGCAAAGAGAGAGTGGCTCATAGGCAACAAAACTTAGGGAGCGGAAGAGGTGCTGTCCACATTAGCTTTGCAATAACGTTGCCCAGAGGAGCCCAGACAGTTCATAAATGGATGGTCCCTCTTGGTGTTCTTTGTACTCCGCCCTTGTCCCTTATTTGAAAAAACAAAACAAACCATTTTTTTCTACTTAATATTCCTTTGGAGTTTTTTGTTTAAATAAAAGACTAACATTTAAATAGTCCTTTGTACTTCCCAAGGTACTTCCATATTATTTCATCAAATCACTATGACTAGTCTCTGAAAAATGGAGAAAGGTATTTTTTTATCTTTATGTAATAGAAAACTAAGATAAAAGAAGGGAGGTAACTTGTTAGGTGGGCTACTAAAAATTGTAAGCTGACCACCCAAATTTGTCCTTGGTACCGTCATTTCCTGGGTCCAAGGGGCTGCGCAGCTGGTGTACCGCCTTCCTCACAGGGTCTATGGGAGCATTAGCTACATGCCCTTGGGACTGATTCAAACATCCCCAGTTAACCCAGCTCGAGTGGCCTCTGCCAACGTCTCCATCCTCACTCTTCGATTAGCAGGGAGGCAGCTTCCAGTGCACAAGGCAGCCAAGCTGAGGATATCTGTAAACAAGCCAGGATTGGTAATAGTTGGCTAAGATGAGATTCAGCATCGCTGTGCTGCCTCAACACTGCTGATCTATAAAAAATACGGTTGGTGGTATCTACAGAATAATTTAGGCCTTTGGGAGATTCGCTCCAATTTGCAAAAGTGCCTCCTATCATGAAGATACAAAAAAAAGTTTACTTTTTTTTTAGTAAAGCCATTTATTGAGCACAGATGGACTGCAATTCTCCTGCACCAGCTCTTCAAAACCCAGTTGCCTTCTGTTCCAGTGGGATTGTGGTCCAGCTCAGTTCTGGCCTCTGGCCCCTATTTTAATAGCTTTGAATAAAGTCTTTCTTACCTTTTTAACTTTGCCCAGGGCAATTTTTGTTTTGACAGAAGAAGAAAAATATGTGCTCCAACTGGTCTATTTTCCCCTAAGTCCAATATCCTCCTAGGCACCCGGTGTTCCCAAACATCATTTGAATGTTTCAAACACTTCATCAATATAAGCTCAGAAGATCTTCCAAATACTGATGTTTTAAAGGTCCCCATTCCTCACAGGAGACATTGGTGGAAGAAGAAAGGTCAGAGCCAATGGTTTTCTATTTTCTCTTTTAATAAAATGGCTTTTCTCCTCTCCACATGCAGTGTCCTTGGCTGCCAGATATCTGCCTGGTCCAGTGTGCCAGAGGGAACAGACCAAACAGTACCAACTGCATCATCTTTGAAATCAACAAGTTTTTGATTGGGCTGGAACTGGTGCAGGAGCGGCAGCTCCGCCTGGAAACAAACATCTTGAAGGTGGAGGATGACACGAACTGTTCCCTGTCTTCCATCGAGGAAGACTTTCTCACGGCCTCTGAACACTTGGAGGAAGAGAGCGAGGTGGAAGAATATAGGAACGGTGAGAACTCTCCAATAAAACCAGTGTGCATTCTGAAATTAGTTACCCCATAAAAATGTCTGCATGCAATTTTAGAAAATTTGGGGGCCATGTTAGTTCAGCTGACACATCACAGTCTTCACTGACTGAGTTTAGGAAGGATGGAGGGTAAGAAAACACTGGGGAAGGTGCTGGCTGATGCACTTAGATTTAGGGGTTAGATGGCTCCATTCTCCCTGAAGACGCCTTAGAGCTGCTGAAGGAAATCTGTGTGCTTTAAAGGGAAATCCTTTTATATCCCTATTATGTGTGTTTGGCTCCTTTGTCAAAAGTTATTTGTCTGGGTGAGACACAGACAGGCAATAGTATGGGGGTTACCAGAGGGTAGGGGGTGGGGGAGTGGTAGAGGGGAAAGGGGGACAAATATATGGTGACAGAAGGTGATTTGAGTTTGGGTGGTGGGCTCACAATGCAATATACAGATCATGTGTCCTAAAAATATACAGTTGAAACCTACATGACCCTGTTAACCTCCATAAATTTATTTTTTTTAAAAAGGGAAATCCTCCCGCTGCCAAGATACAGAGACTATCACTGGGAGGAAAGTTAATTTCCCTAAGATTTCCATCAAAGGCACTGGTTTGTTGAAGCAAGTTGGACTGGCCTGAATCTTTTTGAAGCTGTGAAACCTGGGGCCAGTTACCTAGTCTTTCTGAGCCCTTATCTGTAATTTGGGAATATAAAAGTATTATATTTAAAACTGATATGATAATGTCACGTGTCTGGGAAATGCATTGTTCGGCAAGTTCATCGTTGTGCAAACACCACAGTTCACTTACTCAAACTTAGATGTGACAGCCGACTGCGCACTAAGGCTGCATGGTATAGCCTATCGGTCCTAGGCTGTAAGCCTGTACAGCATTTTATTATACAAAACAACATGAGACTCAATCAAGAACAAGAGCAAATAGTGCAATCAAGAGACTCGGTAAACACAAGATGTACTCCTATGTATGAGGGTGTTGCTGGTGTAACACAGCATACTATTTTACAGCAAACTTTTTTCAGTATAAGTAGTAAGAGTTGTGCCAGGACACTACAATAGCTACAATGCACTAGATTATAAAAAAAAAAATAATCTCCATTATAATCCTGTGGGACCACTGCTGTATATGTGGTCTGGCACTGGCCGGTCGTTATGTGACATGTGACTGTATTATATATACTATTACTAAGGTGAAGACAGAAGACAATAACCCAGGAAAGCGCTTAGCACTCATTTACTCATTCTTTCTATTGACTTATTAATGGAGTTCCGTAAACAATGGACTCCCTTCCCCACGCTGAGCCTTCCGAAGGGACACCGCAGATATTTGTTGCCACTGTCCCTGGGGCAATCTCTAGACAAACTTCAGAGCAAATTTCTGTAACAAGACCCTCTATTGAGATCGCCATACACATCCCCCTCCTTCCTGTTTACCCAGTGGGAGGCTTTGGGTTTCTCTCCCCTGAAAAATGGCAGCCAGCTCTCAGCTCCCAAAAGCCTTCTCCTCCCACTATAACAATGGTATTTCTGTTCTGAATTGAAACCTATTTATTGGGCAGAATTCCACAATGCAGCACAGGAGCCTTTCAGGTTCATTTCTCTTAAAGAAATATTCAAATGTTATTTTGGGGGTAAAATGATGCTTGATGCTTTAAAGCATTTTTAGAAAATAATTGTTGTTAGACTCATGAGAACCTGCTATTCAAAAAGTAATAGTGGTCTTAACTTTCTCTTCACTAGGTTGTGAGAATATAAATGTCTCAGCCAATGTTATGGAAAGTAAAAAGCCGAAGGAAGTCACACAGGAGGAATGGAATTACGATAAGGAAAAGTCCCTTTATACTTTGGAAAACAAATACATTAGCAAGCATCCTATGGCATGGATTAAGACAGAAGGGTCTCTGGAAAAAGAAGCAGAAGATACAACTTTGCAAAGTCTAGGTCCATCAGCTAATCTATCAGAGTGGAAAGGTGAAGGTGTGGGGAATGAGGACACAGCCACAGATTATCATTATCCAGAAAATGTCACAGATCCAGCAGAAACACTGCAGGCACTATACATTCCGGACAATGCTTGTTTCCCCAGGGTGCTTATGCCAGATGGGCCTTGTGCCTGTGGCACTGTCATGGGGCATGGCCACAACTCAGACCCAGGAGACCACGAAGGTGGAACAAACTCTCTCCTCCCCATACAGGATGGAGAAGCCACAACTGGCGAGTATGCTACAAATTTAGCAGAATCCGTGCTGCAAGATGCATTTATTAGATTATCTCAGTCCCAGCCTACACTCCCCCAGGAATCTGCAGTCAGTGTCTCTGTAGGAAGTGCTCTGCTCCCCAGTGGCTGCTCCACAAAAGATATTGTGGTCTCTCCATCATGGAATGACCTCCCCAAAATTGTCATTGTTCAGAGTCCAGATGGCAGCAATGGAGCCCCTGAGCCAGGCATCTCTTCGTGTTCCGAGATGGAAGCCTCTCTTGACACCTCAGGTGTCCCCTCTGGAGAGAACGCCAGCAGACACCCCCAGAGTGCTCTAGAAGTAGCATTAGCGTGTGCGGCCACCATGATTGGAACTATTTCCAGCCCTCAGGCCACAGAAAGACTGAAAATGGAGCAAGAATCCCTTATTGCAAACCACCCACTGGGATGCAACGAACCACTGCAGACTCCAGCACCCCAAGCACTCAAGGAAACTCCCATCAGTGAATACTCGTTTCCATCTGCGCTGTGTGGCATGACTCAGGTGGCCAGTGCCGTTGCCGTCTGCGGCCTGGGGGAAGTGGGAGAGGTGGCGTGCCCTGGGGCTTCGAGTAGAATCCTGTCTGCAGCTGAGTCTTCCGCAGCAATTCCCCCGCTTTTCAATCTAGCAGCAGGGAGGGGCGTGGAGCTGGGCAAAGAAGCCATTGCAGAGGCCTTGTTCAAGGAGGCCGCTCTGGTTTTAACAGGGCCTGACACCCACGGCGGCATTGGAGACCTCATGGCATCAATGAACCGAAGAATTATGGAAGCTGCTTCAAAGCCACAGAGCTCAAGCCCAGAAAATGTCCTCGGAAATGAACTGGCACAGGCCCTATCCAATGTTATCCTGAAGCACTCCATCGATGAGGTTCACCAGCAGAATAAAATAACTGACCCCGACAATGGTGGGCACTCGTCTGAAACTCTGGACACTCTCATGGAAAGTACAAATCAGCTGCTCTTCAACGTGATATGCTCCACGTTCAAGAAGATGAGCCATATCGCACAGCACGGCGAAGGTCCCACTGCTCTTTCCAAGGAGACCCCTGGACGGAGGGAACCTGAACTAGACACCCAGACACCTGATCAGGCTGCTAGCCAGGCATGGACAAAAGCCACTGAACACTACAGCAGCCATCCACTTATTCATCCGTGTAGCGCTAGTCTTGTCATCAGTGACCTTGCAGATGACATGCCTCCCCAGCAGGCCAGCAACGGCTCGGCAAAGCCGGGCCCCTTCCAGACCCCGATGCTGCAGCCTGAATGGACTTGTAGTGCCAGAGTGCCTCGCTCTTCGACTGCTAAAACGTCCCCCAAGGAAACGTATCTGAAAGGAACCGTGGGAAAGGATGCAAAAACCCGTCATCAGACACCGAGTCACAACGTGAATGAACGCAGGGCCTCTTCAGAAGGAGAAAGGACACCCACGGTCACCAAGTACAACAGCAGTTCCCAGGATTCTGAGGACGGCTTCAGTCCAAACATCCAAGAAAAGCACAGCTGTGCCTCACCTCTAAACAGTGAAGTTCAAGTTCACCTGTCTTTGTTAGGGAGTGACTTGCCGCTTCCTGCCCAGTCCATGCTGCACACAAAACACACAGACATATACTGCATTACGGACTTTGCCGAAGAATTAGCAGAGACCATTGTCTCCATGGCAACCGAAATCGCAGCAATTTGCCTTGACAACTCAAACGGGAAACAACCCTGGTTTTGTGCATGGAAAAGAGGGAGTGAGTTTCTGGTCACCCCAAACGTACCCTGCCGCTCCGTGAAGAGGAAGAAGGAGAGCCAGGCCGGCGGGGCCTCTGTGCGGAAGCACAAGCCGCCACGACTCAGCGAGATCAAGAGGAAAACGGATGAGCACCCGGAGCTTAAGGAGAAGCTGATGAACCGGGTCGTGGATGAGTCGATGAACCTCGAGGACATCCCAGATTCTGTCAACGTCTTTGCAAACGAAGTGGCAGCCAAGATCGTCAACCTAACGGAGTTTTCCCTGGTGGATGGCGCCTGGCAAGCCCAGAGCTTCCCCCGGAATCGCTTGCACAGCGGGGACAGGTGGATGCGGCGGAAGGCCTCCAGCTGCGAAAGCATCGCCGAGGAGGACTCCAACGCCAGGGCCTATGTCAGCAGCCTGGGCTTAATGAGCGCCCTCAGTCAGCCAGGGAGCAGGGCCAGCTCCGTCTCCAAGCAGTCGAGCTGCGAGAGCATCACCGACGAGTTTTCCAGGTTCATGGTGAACCAGATGGAAAATGAAGGACGGGGATTTGAGTTACTGCTGGATTACTACGCGGGCAAGAACGCCAGCAGCATTGTGAACTCGGCCGTGCAGCAGGCATGCCGGAGGAGCGACCACCTCAGTGTGAGGCCGAGCTGTCCCTCCAAGCAGTCCAGCACGGAGAGCATAACCGAGGAGTTCTACAGGTACATGCTGAGGGATCTTGAGAGAGAAAGCAAAGACAGCACCTCCTCCAGGCGAGGCAGCCAGGATTGGGCGGCTGGCTTGTTGTCACCTTCCCTGAGATCCCCACTGTGTTACAGGCAGTCGTCCATGCCAGACGGCAGAGCCCTGGGCCCCAGACTGACCGTGAATGCGCCACTGAAAGCCAACTCCTTAGATGGCTTTGCTCAAAACAGCCAGCGAGACTTCCTGAGCGTACAGCCAGGCAGCAGTGCTTCCTCCACCGGGCTCTGCAAATCCGACTCCTGCCTGTATCGCAGGGGTGGGACCGACCACATCACAACCATGTTAATTCATGAGACGTGGGCCAACTCCATCGAGGCCCTCATGCGGAAGAACAAAATTATAGCGGATGATGGCCAAGCCAGTGCTGAGCCCGGGTCTGGTGGCTCTCCCTTGCACGGAGACAAGTGTGCAAACAGATTGGCTTCGAGCAGAGTGCAAAGTGGGCCGATTCTTCTTGTCCAAGAGTCCATTGATTACCAGAGGAAAGACTCTATTACCGAAAGCCTATATCCCCCAGGGTCCTCTGCAAGCAAAGCTGCTCATCTTAGTTTAGATTCTGAAAAGGAAACTTCCTTGTGTCATGGTGGTGTCCCTATAAACCACCCCAGGCAATCACTTCTTTCGAGGGAGGTGCCTTTAATTCAGATTGAAATAGACCAGAGAGAAGAGTGTGTTGGCGAACCTGAACACACGCCGTCCAAAGGCTGCCCCCTAGAAGCAGCGGAGGAGCGCTCGGAGGAAGACAAAACGCCGGGATGTGGGGAGGGGTGGAGACACCGAGACAAGTGCCGGTCAGACCCGCAGGTGAGTGCATGATCTGTGAGACTGCAGGTAAATAAAACCCATCATACAATTTTGACTAAAATGGCACTGACATGGTGCTTAAAATAGGTACAGCCTGGGGACTTTCAAAAAGTCTTGGAAATACATGAGTAAGGCCTCCAGCTGATTCAGGGTTTTGTTCCATATAATGACCCAAACCCATATTCCCTCTGGTGTTCCCTCAGCTCATGATGTGGCTTTCTCGTTTTGTGTTCCAATAATAACAAGGAAAAAATGTGCAATCATCAGTCTTAGAAAGTCAAGAGATATGTCTGCTTCCAAAGCATAAGGACTCCTAAATATTAAATATATTTTGCTTTGTGGAGCAAAGTAAAGAACTGTTATAGAACATGAACTCCACTAACAAACCTTGTAACCATGTCACTTTGGGCAAGTCCCCTAATCTCTCTCCCTCAGTTTACCCACCTATAGGTCAGAATAATAATGATGATGATGATGATGTCATAAGAGCAATCTTAAGTGCTTACCACTCAATAAATGTTTGCTTTACAGTTGCTATTGTTGTTTGGGGTTAGGGTATAGGTTGCCTTAATTCCAGGAGAAAGGTTTCCCAAGAGAAACTTGTTATGAATGGTGTGAGAATTTCATTGACACAGATGACTTCCCAGGATTTGAAAGAGGAAAAAATATTCATATTTAGATCACATTTTCTAATCTCTGAGTTGTTTCCATGAAATCTGATATGTCAAAATAACTAAATATAGAACTCAATTCCCTATGAAAGAGTTCCTACCGACTTACTCACAGAGAGAGGCAGGTGACACAGGCACTCCTAATTCTGTTTAGAGGTTGGGATGTGTCATGTCCTGAAGATATTTTTAGGCTTCTCTCTGAGGGACTAAAACTTCATAAAATCTCAGCATATTGAAATAATACTTTCTTACTTTCTGATTTGATAATAGAGTAACGGCTTCAGAATATATTATGGAGGTCATGTCTAAAGCTCGTATTTTAGGTCACCCCATTTGTCCAGATACCTGAATTACCCCACTTCTTGATTTCTGAAAAACCATTATCCTATTGTCAGGCAGTGATGTGTTCTTAATTCAGTCATGCTCTCTGTATAGTTGAAAAATAATTATCAAACTTTCTGATAATTTGAGACTATAAGTATAAACACCAAACTGAGATTCTGAATATCAACAGGTTGCACTCACCAACATAATCTGATTTTTTAGAAACATATTTTATGCTGTGCATTCACTTATGTTTATTTTAAGAAAAAAAAACAGTATTCATCCAACAAATATTTGATACCCAGTCATGCACACTGTCTTTGGGGCTACAAACACAGAAGAACGTAGAGATTTGGTGCCTGTTCCCAAGGCTCTAACGCAGCAGTGGGAGAGACAAGCACTACACATGAAAAACCTCTTCAGAAAACCATTCTTGTAGAGTGTGACACGATAAAAAATAAGAAGAGTAATGTGATAGAGAATAGCTAATTGGTCAAAGAGGCTGCTTAAGATATGATGTTGGCATTTGAGATGAGACCTAAAAGGTAGATGAGGGAGTGAACCATGTGAAGAAATGAGGTTAGACTTGTATTTCTAGCATTATGGTCTTCTAGGTAGCCTGAAAAATTCTCCCACCATGAATCAACTAGAAATTCTGGATTAATAAAACCTACCTTTAATATAGGGCTGAGATTAACTTTATTATTAATCATGATCATCTCAGAGGTAGAAAATGAAAGGAACTGGAAGTAAAGGTGGTGAGTTAAAGCTGATTCTGCACCTGTTTCCAAAGCATTTGTCTGTTTCAATAATATACACGTTTATTTTCTAAAGGCTAAAAGAAACCAGGAAATGATACCGTAGGCCCCTGAATGGTTAAGACTTAGAACCGAAACCAACCTCCAGATTCTGAAGAGTTGTGTCCATAGTATAAATATGAACTTAGGAAAAAGGATCACCACTGGAAAAAGGGAGCTGATTTGAAACATCATTCAGGCCCTGGTTGGGTGGCTCAGTTGGCTGGAGTGTTGTCCTGTACACCAAAAGTTCGCAGGTTTGGTCCCAGGGCACATACCCAGGTTGCTGATTTGATTCCCAGTTGAGGCACATACAGGAGGCAACTGATCGATATTTCTCTCCCACATCAATGCCTCTCTCTCTCTCTCTCTCTCTCTCTCTCCCTCTCTCCCTTCCTCTCTCTCTAAAATCAGTAAACAGTCCTCAGGTGAGAAATTTTAAAAAATTATCTTTCAAGTTTAGACCTTTGGGTAGAGGGAAAAAATCCACTAAGAATTTATTACCACAGCTCACCCTAATGCATATTTAGAGGTCTAATTTGTACCACCCAAGGGGTCCATGGAACCCCCAAGCTGGTAAATTGCCTTAGAACAACCTCAGGTTAAAATCACCGTGAGAACTTAGCAGAGGGAAAAATTAATCTCTGTATATTGAAGCTCAAGGCTCAGAGGATTCCAACAGAAAAAGCCCCATCAAATATTAACTCAGAACCTCAAATTCCAAGATGCACAATGAATCAAGACATTGTAAACAAGACTCAGCACAAACATCAGATGGCAGGATTAGCCCTAGCAAGAACTTCAGGTGATGGAATTATTAAATACAGAATATGAAATAAATATATTTTTCACATTTGAAAAAATAAGGTATACAAAGCAGGGTCAAGGAACAAACTACCATCAAAGTAGGATGAGGTAGATTTAAAAATCAGTTCAATATGGACTTGGGGTGGCAAACACACAATATGATATACAGATGATGTATTATAGAATTGGACACCTGAAACCTATGTACTAGTATTAACCATTGTCACCCAATAAATCCAATCAATAAATGTTTTAAATCTGTTAAATACTCTAAGAGATGACAAATATAATCATTGAAAATAAAAGTCCTACCTATAAAACATATTATCTTTTTAAATTACCGAAATCAAAATTTCGATGGCATACCTGTGGAGAGAAATACAGGAAAATGTGACAGAACTGTGTTCCACCCTCAGTGGGGTAAGTGAAGCTGAACCTGCCCTGCCTCTGTGAACAAGGAGAAGAATGGACAAATTGTATGAGATGATTGCTACCAGGCTTGTGCAGCAAACGTTCCATTGAGAGAAGGAAAGCAAACCCAGAGAGCCCTACGATCAGCCCAACTTGCCGCCTGAGCAGACCTGCGCAGCTCAGCAGCTCAGCAGACGTGAGCAGAGCTCAGAGGGCACGCCCAGCTGAGTGGGCAGTTAGAGTTCGCAGGGCTCTCTGCAGAGAAACATCTCCACAAGCTTCTGGTGGGGGCCACTCAGGTCTGCCCCGAACGCTGAGCCGCACATGCGTGTGCAGGGCAAACCCCGGGAGGCTGGAGAGCTCTGAACGGAACAACTGCACAACATCACGCAGGACCGGAGAGGTTGAGTTCCAGCCAAACTCAACAATAAGAAAACAAGCCAGTTTTAAAAACTGGATAAAAAACTTGAGCAGACACATCATCAAAAAATAAGACATATAGATATCAAATATCAGTATAAAAAGCTGTTCAGCATCCTATGTTATTAGGCAATCACGTATTTAAACAACAAGGAGATACCACTACACGCCCGTGAGAAGGCCACAATCCCAAACACGGACAGCACAAAATGCTAGTTTGGAGCTAGTTTGAATGTGGAGCAACTGGAAATGCAAATATGCATTTGTTGGTGGTGGAAATGCAAATATAGTACACCCACTGTGGAAGACAGTTTGGCAGTTTCTTTAAAAAATAAACGTGTTCTTAGGAAATGATCCAGCAATAATGCTTCACGGTGTTTGCCCAAACGAGTTCAAAACTTAAGCCAACAGGAAAACACCTGCACACAAGATTTTACAGCAGCTTTATTTATAATTGCCGAAACTTGGAAACAACTCTGATTTTCTCTAGTAGGTCAATGGATAAAGAAGCTCTTGTACATCCAGGCAATGGGATGTTATGCAGCACTAAAAAGAAATGAGCTATTAAGCCATGAAAAGACATGGAGGATACTCAAATGCATATTACTAAGTGAACGAAGACAATCTGAAAAGGCTACATACTGTACAATTCCAACTATGTGACATCCTGGAGTACACACTGTGTCCATATGGACACAGTAAAAAGCTCAGTGGTTTTGAGAGGTTAGGAGGGAGGAAGAGAGGGATAAATAGGCAGAGCACAGCAGATTTTTAGAGCAGTGATACTATTCTGTATGATACTAAAATGGTAGATATGTGTCACTATACATTTGTCCACACCCATAATATATGCGCCTCCAAAGTGAGCTGTAGTGTAAACTAGGTGCTTCGAGCGATAATGATGCATTAATGTGGGTTCACTGGCTGTGATAAATGTCCCTCTCTCGGTGCAGGATGGTGGAGGGCTGTGCCTGTGTGAGGAGGGGGCCATATGGGAACTCTGCTCTTTCTGCCCAATTCACTGTGAACCTAAAACTGCTCTAAAAAATAAAAACAGCTATTGAAATAACTGAAGATAAAACCTAAATAGTAATCTCTTATAAAAATAAAATATTGGGGACTATGCCACTATATCTGCACAAGAAGAAGAGTTTGTGGAAGCATTCAGGCTGAAGGAATATAGTGTAGAGGGAAGCTTGGGTCTAGACAGAGGAAAAGGATTTCCACAAATAGTAAATATGTAGGTAAATATAAAACACTCTTTCTTACTTTTAAAATTTATTCAAAATACAAGTATTTAAAAGAAAAGTAATGTTTATGATATGTAGAGAATTAAAATACATCAATCGCAGCACAAAGAATGGGAGAAGGAAATGGAAATATACTATTGTAAGAGTCTTCCATTCTATGTGAATTTATATAATTTCATCAGAAGGCAGACAGTGATCATTAAAGACACACATTGTTATCCCTGGAATAATTACTAAAAAATAAAATGAAGAGCTATGCTAATAAGCTAATAGTGGGGTTAAAATGTAAAAATGTTTCAACTGACACAGAGAAATGTGTAAAATGAAGGAAAAAAGAAAAAACAGATGGAACTAATGGAAAATTATAAAGATGATATATTTCATTTCAATCATATGATCATTACGTTAATTAGTAATAGCCTGAACATTCTTATTAAAAGGCAGAGATTGTCAGACTGATTAGAAAAGCAAAACTCTACCATAAGCTATAAGAAATGCATTTCAAATGTAAAGATACAAATAAGTTATAAATAAAATGATGGGAAAAGAAGTATAACAAGGATGGAATAACTATATTAATTTCAGACTAGTAGAATTTAGGACAATGAATTTTATCAGTAATCAAGAAGGATATTTTATAATGAGAGAGGGGCCAATTTGTAAAAATAGACATAATAATTATACATATGTAATTCCCTAAACAAAAGAACTTCAAACTGTATGCAATAATACCTGTTAGAGCTGGAAGGAGAAATAGACAAATTCACAATTATAGTTGGAAATTTCACACTCTTCTCTCAGTTACTGATAAAATAATAGGCAGAAAGCCAATAAGGATATAGAAGACTCGAACACCATTCTCAATCAACTTGACCTAATTAATATTTATTAAATGCTCCATCAATGACAACAGAATAGACATCTTTAGTGCACTTAAAGCATTCACCAAGACTATTCTTAATAAATGCAAAAAGAATTGAAATTATATAGAGTATGTTCTTCAATCACAATGGAATTAAACCAAAAGTTAGTCACAAAGAGATGTCTGGGAAATACTCTAAAATATTTGAAAATCAATAACACACTTCTAAATTATCCACTAGTAAAAGCATAAGTCACAGGGGAAATTAGAATAAATTTTGCATTGAATGAAAATGAAAACACAACACATTAAAATTTGTGGGATCCAGCTAAAGCAGTACTTAGGAAAGAAATGAATACCTCCAAATGTTTCTTTTTTAAAGAAGAATTATTTAACATAAATGATCTAAATTTCCATCTTAGGCTAAAAATAGATGATTAAATTAAAGCCAAAGAAACATAAGGAATAAAATAATAAAAATAAGACCAGAAATTAATTATTACAAAAATAGAGAAAATTGATGAAACCAAACACTCTTATAGTCCAGAGGTTGGCAAATAGGTTCATGTTTCTGCATTTAAAGCTCAAGTAAAATATTTAAGGTGTATAATGTTTAATTGTCATGATTTCCCCTTTCAAAAAAATTTTACAGTAATAAACAACCTGACGGCGTGGTGGAAAGAACACTCTTACTGTAGTTTTGTATTTAGTATTATTATTACCCTCTACCTATCGCAAGTGATTCCTCTTTTCCACTTACAGGAACGACTCACATTTCTTTCTGAAATAAGCATATAGAGGTTACATAAAGTAAACTAATTATAACAAATTTTGTTATTCTTATAATACAGAGGGAATGCAGATATGGCAAAAATCATGACAGCAATTTGCTAATAAATGAAATTGGGGAACACTGGGCTAGATGATTGCTGAGGTCTCTGCCAGCTCAGAAACTCTATAATTTGATTTGATAGCATATCAAATGCACTTGTCAAAAGCTCTGTGCATGAACTGTAAGAGCGGAAGTGGAAAAAAGCCAAATACATACATCTGCATAACACACCTGCGCACTGTTCATAGATAAACAAGCATGGCTATAAATTATCTCCAAAGAAAATGAAGGCTAGTGCTTCCGATAATCATTATTCATCCTGAATTCCCCAGTTATGTAACAGGGAATATGCAGTTTACTGTAAAATAGAGCAAGAAATTATTAAGATAAATACACTGACAGACTCATTTTTAACCTGGATGTTCAATGTCAATCAGTGAGATGTAACTTCTGCTTTAGTAAGAAATACTTTGGAATAAATTTTTCCAATAACTCAAGGTTCTAATTCACTAAGACATATTAGTCTAGGAACTTACTTTGTAACTGACAAATAAATGGTTTTGGAGTTCTCTCCTCCATGCTCAGTACTTGGCCCATTTCCACTTTTTGTGGAATACGTATATTGTTTCTATTTGTTATCAATGAAATTTCCTTTCACTTGAATTTAACTAAATTCACCAAATGTCTCTCTGGCTGCATCAATTCTCTTTCTCTCGGCTTAATTTGGAAGTATATCAACCTTTTTTAAAAAGTCAGTGTTATTAAGGATCTTTTTTAACCAAGTGTTAGCAGCACAGCATGCTAGAAACAGCCACACCACAATACCATACCTTTCCAGAATGCTGTGAGAAAGAATCTTAGGGGTGGGGATCTAGGCACTAAGATAAATGCATTAAATAATCTTTATTCCCTAATTTATATCTTGCAAAAACCCTGGTGAGATGGGCATTATGATTTCTCTTTGAGAGGCTGAATAGGTGACAAGTGGCGGAAGGGTTAGGCTTAGGGTTAGGCTTAGGGTTAGGGCTATAGTTAGTGTTAGGGTCAGGGTTAGGGTTGGGGTTGGACTGTAGGCACAGAGCCCAAAGCACCCGTGTCGCCAGCACTTGGTCAGAAGAAGCAATGGGGCAAAGACCGAGAGGCAGGGAATCCCTGGACAGTTTAAGAAACAACAGGTATTTTGTCTGCTTAGTAATGACTAGAGTGGAGGCAGATAACACTGGGTAGGCAGGGAGAACCTTGAAGGACAGAGTTTAACTTCACAGGGTGCTTGTAGGTTTTTGGTAAGAATGGTCAAAGTGGTCAGAAGACCAGCTGAAGAGAGCCCCAGCATCAGGGAGAGGGGTCGTGGCTGGAGGTCAGCCTTGGGAGATATTTTCAGGCAGGAGAGTAGGTGAGGTTGCTTAGGGACACACTGGAAAGGAGGGCCGTGAACCATCAGACCTGGCTGGAGTGACACCTGAAGGCAAAACAGAGAACCACGTTTCAAAGACAAAGTGTTCAGACGAGGAGAACTTCAGGGGGAGCCAGAGAGGAGAAGCTTCAAGGAGTGAAGCCTGTCAGGTCAAGGGTTAACATTTCTGGAGAGCTGACTTGAATGAGAAAGCAATAACCCAGCAAAGCGGTGCTGATAGAAATGACAAGTTCTAAAGGAAGAGGGTGGTGTAAAAATATGCCTGTAAGGGAAAAATATGTTTAGAGACATTTCTAGGCAAAATGACTTTGGAAACCACCAGAACTGGCGTGGGCATTTTTTTTCCCAGCAAGGGTCCACTTACCACTTGCATTGCAACCACAGGGGCGGGCCTCTCTGCAGAAACACTGAGTTTTAAACTCTAGGGAGGATGCTCTGAGGGTCATCGTTTCAAACACCACTGCCCTTCGATAATTCTTATGTATGGAGACCAGGGTACTCCATACAGGTGTTTTTGAAAGGAATGAGGGGGTTAAAAGAAAGAGATCAGCCCTGGCTGGCGTAGCTCAGTGGATGGAGTGCGGGCTGCGAGCCAAGGCATCACAGGTTCGATTCCCAGTCAGGGCACATGCCTGGGTTGCAGGCCATGGCCCCCAGCAACTGCACACTGATGTCTTTCTCTCTCTCTCTCTCTCTCTCTCTTTCTCCCTCCCTTCCCTCTCTAAAAATAAATAAATAAAATATTAAAAAAAAAAAGAGAGATCAAACAAAGAGATGGGAGAACTGATGGGGAGTTGCCCTGAAAAAGCAAAATGGGATCTAGGGCACCAGCAAAAGTATCAGCTTAAAAGAAAAAACTGAGCCCTGGCTGGTGTGGCTCAGTGGATTGATTATTGGCCTGAGAATCAAAGTGTCGCTGGTTCAATTCCCAGTCAGGGCACATGCCTGGGTTGCAGGCCATGTGCCCATTATGGGGTGCACCAGAGGCAACCACACATTGGTGTTTCTCTCCCTCTCCCTCCCTTCCCCTGTCTCTAAAAATAAGTAAATAAAATCTTTAAAAAAAAGAGACTGCACCTGTGTCCAAGGACATCCTACTCCGTGGCAGAGTCATGCTTAAGAGAGCAGCCTTGTGCTCCCACTCTTGGTAACGATATCTTACCACCTACAGTGACAGCCTTGATGCCAGAGACGGACCAGAGGCAGAAGTCCCGACAGAAGGGAGAGCCCCCAGTGAGGTGCCCAACCCTCCCAGCAGCAGTGGGGAGAGCACCGAAAGCTGGTCCCAGCTCGCCAACGAGGAGGACAACCCAGACGACACAAGTAGCTTCCTGCAGTTCAGTGAGCGATCCATGAGGTACCTGCTCTTCGCTCGACTTCCCCAGGGAAAGAGGTCTCGACACATAGTTCAGAAATGCATTTGAAATCATTCTCTGCAGACGGTTCCTAATAGAGAGTGCAAAAAGGAAAGTTCCCACTAGGTCAAGGTGTCTGCCTGTCATGATCTGTGCTGAAAGGTATCTGAATATCCAATAATGGCTTCAATTACCTTGGTCAAGGTTGAGAGTCAGCTGTGTTCCTTTCTCTGCAAGCCCCAGCCAGTGCATTCAATGATGACAACTGTGAATTTCTTAATAAGAGCTGCTGTTACACCTGGTATGGTTGATACTTTCTTTCCGGTTCATTTGTATTTCAGATGCAACCCAGGCTGGGTTTACGTGAGGCACGTGTTTCCACACTGTGTTGCGTTGTTTGCCCTGACTGTTCCTCTGCTTTTTCTGCCCTTTTCTCCATTTTTGTTGTGGAAAAAAACTAGAGAGGAGCTAATCAGAGCTCAGATCTGATTGCACCCCAGCCAGTCAGCAGATATAAACCAAAACTTATCCCTCTATCAGGTAACAAAAGAATCTCCACGTTTCAGCCTGAAATCTTGTTTGGTACTGCAGACTTTACATAGAGGCCAGTTGAAAATGGGATTCAGATACATCTTGGGTGTCTGGTTCCTTGAAAGTTTTCATTCTGGTGGGTCAGTCTGTTTGGACATGGAAAAAAATTCACAATGCTGAACGACTTGTCTAAAATTCCAAAAAACAGTGTGGAGCCCACGAGCAATGAGAATTGGAATCCCCAGACTTTGCAGAAGTTGATAGTGTTCATTACTTTCAGCACAAGGTCTGAGTCATCAGATTTGAATCAGTGAATATATTCAGTACTCCCCTCCTCTCCGCCCCCCAAAAAAAACCCCAAGACAGGAATCTGGAATGAGGGGACTGCAGCTGCTTCCTCATGGTGTCCCCAAGGGAAGCCTGCCCCCTTACAACACACCATTACTACCAGGTCTCACCCTTTGGGAACTTTCCTTGGAAGAGACGTCCCTGGAAAATGGAGAAAGTGTAAGGAAACTCAGTGGGTTTTGGTGAAATTGAATGCCTTCCATTTTGCAAGTACAGGCAGAACCCAAAACTCAGCTCAACTCTTCCGTTCCAGTAAATACGTTTCAGGCTAGTGACTTGACCGTGTGTTGGTTGTGCAACCGCTGGCAGTGGCGCAATGTGCCATCCCTCCTTCTCCATGACGCGCGAGGTAGCAGATGCTGCTGCTTCTCAAAGATTTTAAGATAAAGGAACTATAAAACTTGGCATTCCCCAACTTTGTACTTGTGAATTCTGTCGTTAAAAAAAAAAAAAAACAACAAAAACAAAAAACGAGCCAGGTGCCCATCCTGGGGAATATCCCTCAGGAAAATCCCCTGAATGGCAAAGGGATAATGTGCACGCACTGGTTTCGGTCAAAAGCAGGCAGATGAGTATTCCAGGATCTTTCCCAGCCAGAATTCTCAGATGTATCTTAGGTTCTGTGGGCCTTTTGCTAATAGGTAAATATCTTGACTGTAACTAGAATGAGGAAGAAAAACATCATGCTGATTGTCACCTGCTAGGCGTGATCTACCCGGTGTAACAGAACACCACCGCGGAAATGAGACCACACTGATGGTGGTTGGCTTGAGCCAAAAATGTCTTTTGTTGTGCAGTCTCCTAATCTGGTCAAAAATAAATGTCAATTTAAAAGTCCTAGACACAAAGCAATATTACTCTGGGAACCAAAGGAAGGACCCCTGAGAACAGTAGATTATCAGTGCGGCCAGGTGGTGGAGACTGGCATTAATATGTAAACTTTTGCTTTGTCAGCAATGGCAACAGTAGTGCCACTAGCAGTCTTGGCATTATGGACCTGGACATTTATCAGGAAAGCATGCCATCTTCTCCCATGATTAAGTAAGTAGCCACGGAGATGCAGTGATTGTGAGACCGCCACTCCATCTGGCAATCCATTGTGATCATCCAGGTTGTGCCCAGCCACTGATTTCATGATGTCTGTACTGCTGTGGTCCCAGGCATGTGTGGTCCCGTGTCACTGGCGCAAGAACTCAGGCCTAGAATAGTCCTCGCCTATCATCACCTCCTTTCCAGATTTCAAAGCTGCCCCTTATAATGTAATCATTTCCAATAAAGCTCATGCATATAATTAGGAATATGTCATTTTACCTGATTGGGCACTGAGAAGCTAAAATCTATTTATATTGTACCATGCCAACCAACAAAGACTGTTGTTCAATATATTATAGTCTGATGGCTTTTCCTGTACTTGTAGACACCTGGGATTATTACTACCAAATGTGCCTAACACCAAAGAGTGCCCTGTTGGAGATGTGCCCTACTCAAGCAGTAACTCTGCCCCCTGCCCCATGCGGACCTCCTAAAGGAGCGAGGGGAAAATGCACTGAGAGGAGCACAAAACGTATGACATAAAATATTGGCAGAGCAATATGAGGTCAGAGCTACATCTAGAATCTGTGATGCTTCCGGAAAATTAAGCAAATTGCAATTTATTTTTTGACCATGATGACTTAGCTTATTATTTGAAGAGTTCTGAAATTTCAGAAAGAAATGAAAATAAACTATCGGGCAAAACCAGCTCTCTGACCTATTTCCTCAATTACTTTCTATAGCTAAAGCATTTTTTTTTGCTTTATTATATAATCAAGTATCTTGCCTGTGGGAGTATAAAACAAATAAAAAAACTACTCTGGGACAAATTTATTTTTCTCCTTCAGGAAACATTTATTTAGCTGCTGTTTCCATCTTTCTCCATGAAATGAGCCTACAACCCCACAGACTACATGAATCCAGGGAAAACCAAGACCACCACCACCCATAGCATCACATAGCTTTGTAAGAGCAGAAACTCTACTGACCACATGCCATTTCACTTAATGTTACCACCCACATAGAGATCTAACAGAAAATCTAGACCCTTCGGACACTGGTCACGCTTCCATGTAACTATTACATAGAAGGTGCGCATGTGAGAACTGGGCTTTCTCGATATCAGGAATACAATGGAACCTATCATCTAGCTCTTAGCATTAAGATAAAATGTAAGAGAGAATCTTCTCTCATAAAAGACATTTTTAAGAGCCTTGTACTTTAATTTTTAGACAGGACAAAAACACAGGACAACCATGGGCTTCCCAAAGTGGTCTGTTCCTTCTAACTGTTGGGCCATACTGTTCTCATTTTGGCAAATATTTGCTGAACCTTCCCACTGCATTCAAGGCTCCACAGTAAATACTCAGTATTTGAAAACACCTCAAATATTGAATTTTTTTGTATCTAAGGAAATACATCAGTTATGAATCTTTAGTTCCAAACCACATCCAGCTTACTGCATTCTCCCGATAAAAAAAGAAAACTGTCAACTAATTGAGATATTTTATGTTGTACAATTTAAGTGCTGCAGTTCATTGATTGTCTTTTCCCTTATTTCAGGTCAAAGAACCATATCCATGTAGAAAAAAATATATGTCTGGGCTAAAATGTAAATTTTGTGTTAGTAGCATAGTACAGAATAACAATCATTGTGTCAAGTTAGAAACATGATCCTTTAAATGACAGGTAAAATAAAAGAAGGATAAACCTTCCAATCAAAACTAGTTAACATGATGTCTCCTGCACTGTTCAAGCTTCTGAAGGTTAATAGAAGTTTGAGGAGGATGCCTCTCTGAGTCTCCCACACCAACTGTCCCTACTAAAACCACGTGGTTTCTCTGGCCTTTTTGTTTCTTAGGGGTGGGATATTTATTGAAGACCCATAGCCCTACATAAAACAGCCACATTGGTATTTTTCTAGTGTCACTTCAGTCTGTGAAAACAATGAACATAGAATGAAACTTCAGAAGCTTTTAGATCAATAAAACCCATCGCCTCATCTTCCATTTATAGCTTACTCTTCCTAAACATTACCAACCATATACTGTTGTTTTCTCCCAAAGTGAATTAGTAGAAGAAAAGGAGATTCTTAAAGGACAGTCAGAAAAAGGAGAGGGTAAGCCACGTTCCCATCATTTTGGCACACAATTGGCCGGCGCTCCCCCTGTGGAAAGCGTGGTAAGGCTGTGTCTTTGTCTGTGTTCAGAATGCGTCCCTGGAGCACCCGTGGGAGCAGCCAGCCACCAGGGCAGCCTGCTGGTGATCAACTTTGACCTGGAGCCCGAGTGTCCTGACGCTGAGCTTCGAGCCACTCTGCAGTGGATCGCTGCCTCTGAACTTGGGATTCCTGCCATCTACTTTAAGAAATCTCAGGAGAACAGAGTTGAAAAGGTATGGTGTTTCCTGCTGGATATCAGTGGAGCCTGTGTTTTTATCACTGCGGGAAACTCAGGAACTGCCAGGCTAACCCATTTGAATTTGAATCATTGGTTCTTGACTGTTCGCCTTAAAATTGCGCCTAGAACTGTGGAGACTTCCACTGCATAAATATAATCATGATTACTTTTTCTTCAATCCTCAGTTTGTCTCAACTTGCTGGTGAAGGTGACAACGTAAATTGAGATGGGAACTTTTTCAAAGAGTCTGGGTTTTTTACATATCCTTGTTCCAAAACAGGCCTCTTCATAACACTCTTTTAAACAAAAGGTAGCAGGGAAGGCTCAATATATACCGGAAACAAAAGTGAGGCCACATTGGTATTTAACATGGACTGTGGCATGTTTAAAATATGCCACCAAGAAGAAGGTATTTTTAATTCCCTACCACACAGGTTTGCAAGAGGGGGACTTTCTCATTAGCGTCTCCCACCTACCAGAAATATAAAACTAGGGAATACATCCTTGACCAACATCACAATTGATAGCCACTGTCATTCTAATTCCATTCCTCTAAGACCTACCAATAACTGTGGTAGAATCTCGTTTATTAAGATTAAGGCAAGAATTCTTTTTTTTAAAGATTTTATTTATTTATTTTTAGAGAGGGAAGGGAGGGAGATAAAGAAACATCAATGTGCAGTTGCTGGGGGCCATGGCCTGCAACCCAGGCATGTACCCTGACTGGAAATCGAACCTGCAACACTTTGGTTCGCAGCCCGTGCTCAATCCACTGAGCTATGCCAGCCAGGGTTGGCAAGAATTCTTCTGTCTTCAAGCTCAACTGTCCATCATTTGAAAGTGTGCTGAATGGTAATGTTGCCATATTTATTTTCTATTGCTGTGTAACAAACTGCCACCAGTTTACTGGCTTGCAGCAACAACACCGATATCTGCTAACAGAAGTTCAGGTAGACTGCGTTGTGCTCCCTGCTCAGGGACTTGTGCGGCAGAAACCAGGATGCCGGCCTGGCTGGGCCCGTATCTGGAAACCGTGGGGAGGAACGCACTGACAGTTGTTCAGGTTGTCCTAATTCGGCCCCTTGTGGGTTGTAGGGCTCCAGTCCTCGGATCCTGGCAGGCTATCAGCCTGTGGCTATCCTCAGCTTCTAAAAGCTGCCCGCATTCCTTATCATGTGGCCCCTGCACATTCTCACGCTATCAGTCTTTCTTACCTCTGCCACCAACCAGAGAAAACTCTGCTTTTAAAGGGTTCATGCAATTAGCTTAGGCTCCACAGGTGGTCTCCCATTTGTTCAGCTCAAAGACTGAACCTTTTCCATGTAGGGTAACATGATGGGAGCATAATTTTCTCATCCTGCTTGTGGTATCAAGCATTAGGGTGGAAAACCTTGGGAGCTGTTTTAGGACCCTGCCTATCACTGTCCCGTGCATTTTTAAGTGACTTACTGTCACAAAGTATCTCCACCTACTCATTGTACTTTTTTCTCACCAATCCTGTGAGAAGAGGAAAACGGACATTATTGTCCCTTTGTTATAAATGAGCAAGTCCGGACACCAAGAGGCTGGTCCACGAGAAAGTCTCAGACAGAGGTGGTGGGGCCTCATCCTGGACCCCTGCTGTCCCCACACACGCCTCTCAACTGTGTGTCTTTCTCGAGTAAAATCGCCGTGGAGTTACAATCTAGTCTTTAAATGTGTAATTGTATTCTCATTCTCACTGTCAAAATCTAGCAGCCTGAAATGAAAGACCCTTTACCAGCTTGCCATGCGTATGGTAGTTAGAATAGCTCCCCTGTCTCTGCAACACCAACCAAGGACACTGACCACTGGAAAAATCGAGAAGGGGACCAAATTTATTTCCCATGCCGTCTCCCACTTCAGCCTGTCTCCAACCAGTCGTTTATATTTCTCTTGGTGCCTGGGATTGCCTACCATTCTACACTACCTGAATCTAGATACTAGCCTGTACTTTATGTGCCAGGTGACGAGTGATTTACTATTTGATCAATTCTCCTTCCACCTTACCACCCAGCCTGCCCAATGCAAAGGGTGAAGGGAAAGATATATCCCGACACCTGATGACCTGGAACAGCTTGTCAATTTAATTCACAATGACCCTGACATCAGGTCAATTTAATCCACTTTATATGAGACAGAAGAAAGAATCATGAAAGAAAATGCTTTAAACAATTACACCAACTGGCTAATTGTCCTGCTTTTGGGATCCAAGGCATCATTGATCTCTGGCTCTTTTTTTTTATTTTAGATTTATTTATTTATTTATTTATTTATTTATTTAATTTTAGAGAGGGGAAGGGAGGGAGAAAGAGAGAGAAACATTAATGTGTGGTTGCCTCTCACGTGGCCCCCAACCCAGGCATGTGCCCTCACTGGGACTCAAACCTGTGATGCTTTGGTTTGCAGCCCAAGCTCAATCCACTGAGCCATGCCAGCCAGGGTGATCTCTGGCTCTTTTCTTCTGTTTAAACTCAGTGAGCCTGTGTGGACTGCAGTGGGCTGGTGACCAGCCTCACAGCAAACCCAGTGCCTTTCTCACTTTTCAGACTGCTTTCAGAATTATTTCCTTTTCTTGGAAGCAGTGCATAGAAGAGGAAAGAGAGGAAACAGTTACATGCTTATCTTCCCCAGAAAGTGGGGGTCAGACAAGAAATTCAGCTCACTTCTAATTTCTCGTTCCATTCCACATGCAAAGTGATGGAAGGAGAATAACAGGGAAAATGTTGATGATATTGACTATGAGCCTAATTTTTTCCAAAACAGTACCCTTAAAGTCTCAGGGTTTTTCTTTTAATTTTTAATTTATTGATTTAAGAGAGAGAGAGGAAGGGAGAGGGAGAGACTAAGAAGGAGAGAAAGAGAGAGAGATTTGTTCAATGTGTTGTTTCCATCGATTGATTCTCGTATGTGCCCTGACCAGAGATTAAACCTGCAACCTTGGCATATTGAGACGATGCTGGAACCACCTGTGCCCCTGGCCAGGGCAAAGTCACGGTTTTGAAGAAGTACACAGTTAAGGAAGGAAAAATAAGGAAGAATTAGATTCTGTCTTAGTCGGCTTGGACTACTACAACAAAACACCATAGACTGAGTGGGTTAGACAACAAACATTTAGTTTGCACAGTTTTGAAGCTGGGAAGTCCAAGAACAAGGGGCCAGCAGATTTAGTTGCTGGTGAGAACTCTCTTCCTAGCTGTGTCCTCACACAGCAGAGAGAGGAGGCTCTGCTGTCCCTTCCTCGTCTTATGAGGGTTTGAATCCTACCATAGGAGTTCCATCTTCAAGACCTTATCTAAGCCTATTAGACCTAGACCCCAGAGGTCCCACCTCCCAATACTATCACATTGATGGTTCAGGCTGCAACATACGAATTCCGGACTGGGATACATTCAGTCCATAATCTGTACCGTCTCTTCGCTTATAAACATAAGAAGTGTTCTTCCACTGAATCCTTCGGTCATGATTCTCAAACTCAGTGTGTGCTAGAACCTCCTGGGGAGATTTTAGAGCCCTCGATGCCCTAAAGGGTTAGGCCACTTAAAATCTCCTCTTGGGATGAAACCCAGGCATTAGGGTTCTCCAGAGGTCCCTGATGGTTCCAGGGTGCAGTCAAGGCTGAGAACCACAGCAGTACAAGCCACAGTCCCAGGAGCAGCGTGAAAACCAGCTCACTTGTGCTTAATGACATGGAATTCTGCCTTGGAGCAAAGGAACAAAACGTATTTGCATTCAGAAATCTACACTGAATGTTTCCAAAAAAACCCCACACAATTTGCAACAGCTCCCATAGATTCCACCCCATGATTTTGTAAGCAACCTAATTTGGCAAATGCGCCAGAGAATCCAAAAGCCACCTGTGATGTGGTAGGTGAAATGATACACCATCACAGGATGTAAAGTCTTCTAGTTTCCTAAGATAAAACATTTGCTCAGGGAAATGCCACCTATGATATATGTGAAGGGAATCTAATTATTATTGATTCTGAAATGGCAGGAAGAGGACAATTTTGACTTCTATTTTTTCAATTAATTGGAAAGAAAAACCCAGATCCCTGACATACAAAAGCTGATTATGAAATTACAAAGGCAAAAAGAAGAGACACAATGAAAAATGTAGGATCAGCTGCTACTTAGAATGTGGTTTTAAAAGGCTATGGTAGCCCTGGCTGGCATAGCTCAGTGGATTGAGCACGGGCTGCGAACCAAAGTGTCGCAGGTTCGATTCCCAGTCAGGGCACATGCCTGGGTTGCAGGCCATGACCCCCAGCAACCGCACATTGATGTTTCTCTCTATCTTTCTCCCTCCCTTCCCTCTCTAAAACAAAACAAAACAAAACAAAAAGCTATGGTAATGAGCTGGACGAGTTCTTTTCTGGCTTCTTCACACAGACGCTTTATTTTTACCTAGAAGTTTTTGTAAATGAAGGGAAGAAAGTGTATGACCTTCCCACTCATCAGCCCCACAGATGTTTGAAGGCCTCCATGTCTGAGATGAAGTCACTGCCTCAGAGCAGGGTATATGTAGCGGGACCAGATCATTTCTAAAGGCTGTATTAGTAGGATGTTGGCCTGGACTTAGAAATCACGAGGCAGATTCCAGTCTGTGACCATCGCACGGATAACTGGCACAGAGGCCTTGCTGGGGGAGCATTTGGACAACTTTGGGTCAAACACATAGGGAGCGCTTCCTTCAGCAGTTCCCATATAGGTGGGAAAAAATGACAGTGGGCTTCTAGAAAGGTCTGCTGCAGAGGGCCTTCTGGGAAAGGGTTAACAGTTGTTGGTATCTTCCCTGGAACTTCGACTTTCTTTCAGAGCAGTGACTCAGAGATGAGAGGTGGGAGCAAAGTGGTAATCCAGTGAACCAGGATCCACAGAAAGAAAAAAAAGAAAGGAACTAAGGCTTATTTTATATTTCTGTGTATGTTATGTTGAACTGCAGCTTTATAAGACATGTTAAGGGGGAGGAGATACTCTCAGGGGGTATGTCTCGACTAAGGCCACTGGTGACCCTTGTGGGAAATCTTGAAAAATCAACAATCTATGATCTTTCACAGTGAGACCTCAGAAGCTTGATGTCCACGCCTTTTGCATGGGGAGCACCTACTTTCTAGACGTCCAGTAAGAGCTGAAAAAGTCTGGTTAATCAAATCATGCAAACACATCCCGCTATCCCTGAGGCCTCATATTTTTACCACTTTGTCCAATAGAAAACATGCCTTCTAGCCCTGGCTGGCGTAGCTCAGTGGATTGAGTGTGAGCTGTGAACCAAAGTGTCGCAGGTTCGATTCCCAGCCAGGGTACATGCCTGGTTGCAGGCCATGGCCCCCAGCAACTGCACATTGATGTTTCTCTCTCTCTCTCTCTCTTTCTCTTTCCCTTCCCTGTCTAAAAATAAATAAATAAAATCTTAAAAAAAACATGCCTTGGACCATTTACATACCCAGGATATAAGTAATGGCTCAAAAAATTATTTTTATGCATCTCCATAACTTACCAATAGCTGCTGGTAATGCTCCCCTAGGTAAGGGGATTTGCATTTTAAGCAAAACCTTAACCTAAAGGATTAAACTTTCTAAAATTTCAGGAATAGGATAGGTAAGAAGGTAGGAGGTATTGTGAGGGGTCCCAGACAATTAGGAGTCTCTAAAGTTCTATGACTGAGGCCGAAGGAGCTGATGGAGCTCACCCTCCACTGCTGCTGTAATGAGCGGTGAAGAAAGGTCGTGCTTATTCGCCCCTAAACCACTCACTCTCGGTTGCTGGGCCATTGGCCGAGTGCCCCATGACCAGCTTTTATTTTGCTCCTTGCCCGCTACCATGCCCCAATCAAGCTCTGTTTAGCCTTCACCCATTAGATCCATGGGCTCCAATGACTTCTAACAAGCATCCTATCAATAGAAAACTATTGAGTACACAGTCCGAGATATACACATTTATTTCTAACTGTACCTGTGCCAATATACTACATAAAACTCAAGAATATATACTTAGACAAGGTTCATCTGTAATGATTCTGGATGTCACTCCATATACCAAATAGTCTTCCTGATCATCTTGAATTTATTTGACTGACATTTGAACATTCACTCCTGTCACTCTGCAAGTATTTAGTGAGTCCCTATTAAGTACAGGCACAAGATATTACAAGACGGCTAAGATGCTGTTCTTTCCTGGGAGATTACTATCTATAACATAGTTGCCATGGGCCTCCCATCTGTCTCCCTTTTTGTATCATCCTAAACTCTCTGAGATAAAATAGTGTTTATATGTCTATGCATTAAAAGTTAAGTATTTCATTTCCGAGCCTAGAAAACTGCTTTATTCCGATTAAGCCAACACAAAGCGAGCAAGTACAATAAAGTGCTGATTTCTCTCCCTCGGCAAACAGTTGGTGCCATCACAGCTGTGGGAGGAAACATAATTCAACAGTAGCTCTTTGGAAGATGACTTCATGGAAACTGAAATGAATTAACAAATTCAAGCTGGAGAGAAGGAAAAAAGACAGATAGAAATTAGCTTCTCAGTTTCTGACTGATCTTAAAAAGCTGGGCAAACACAAAAGGAGCAGAGCAAAAAAACAAAAATCCTAGAAGGAAACATTGAAGAAATAGTCACTAAACCACAACCCTCATCTCCTGACTAGGTCGTTCTTCTTCCTAAAGCTGGATCGTATTCCCAGCCAATCCTTCCTCCCGGTACTGCAAATAGATATCAAGGCTGTGTTCTCCTACCACCAAAATGCAGCCCTGTGCTGGGGTAGACATAGCACTGGACTGGAGTGTTAGAAAACCATACATCACACTACCAACTTTTTATCTCTCTAGCCCTCAATTTTTTCACCTGTTCGTGCCTACTTCACAGGCTGTTGGCAGAATTTTATGAGATTGCATGCCTGGAAGTACTTCCTCAGATTTGGGCTCTTAATCATTGTTACTTTTTTTAAGCATCTTACTGAAGACTTTGAGAGGTCTTCAGGCTGTGCTCCAACCCAAAGTATTCAAGATCATGAAAGAAATGATCTATGATGATTTCCCCGTCTTCCAACACTTCAGCTCACAGTTTTCCTGCAGCCAAAAACTTTCTCAGTTGTGGTCATTGGAAGCTAGTAAAAATAAGGGCACTTCCCCAAGCTTTCTTTTTCCTGTTGCAATGCAAAGCCACCCTCTCCTAGTGCTTGATGATGGGGGAAGGGCCTTTCCCTGGCAGAATGGGGAATCCACAGGGGACCCGACACAAAAGTTTAGCACTTGGTTCATTTGGTCTAAATATATATATATATAATAAGAGATTATTTGTGACACATATAGAAGGTATTGGGAGCCATACTACACCCTCCAGTTAGAGAAAGTCTATTCCACAGCAAATCAGACCAGAGGAAACTGTTTAAATATGGAAAAGACAGAGTCTTGAAAGAAACATTTCATCCGGTCCCTCTCATCCATGAAGGGCAACTGCTGTGAGAAAGAAAAGACTCCAGCTCAGTTGAAAGAACTCTCCGATGAGCTGAACTGTCTAGGAAGAAAGTAGACTGTCTTGGAGAAGAGTGTCGTGTCACCAAAGATATTAAAAAGTAGCCTGGGGAGCTGTCGGCTTTGAAAGAGTGGTTGAGTAAGATGATTTGGAGGATCCTCTGTGATATGTGACTTCTAACCAGTGCTCTACTTTAGTTTCTAGATGTGGTGCGGCTGGTCCACCGGAAGTCCTGGAAAGTGGGGGATATCTTCCACGCCGTGGTTCAGTACTGCAAACTGCACGAGGAGCAGAAAGACGGGACCCCGAGTCTCTTTGACTGGCTGCTGGGACTGGGCTAAGGCAGCTGCGCCCTGTACAGAATTCCTTTCCCTTATTCCAGCTTAGATTACACTGACTCGCTTGAAATGCTCTCACCTTTCTCAAACATTGCATCCCACTAGCAGAGCTACCGAAAAAATCTGTTCAAGGCTACTACCCATGGAATAAACCTGAGGAAGAGTAAAATATAGATCTGCACAAATCAATACAATGTAGGGGTGAATTCAAAAGAGTTTGTATTGGAGTGGCTGGGAAAATGGGAACTTCAGTGGGCCTCAAATTAAAAGCTTATAACTAGGCCTAAATTCTAAGACAGCTGCTGTTGCATATTTTTAATAATATAAAATGTTATGTGAATTATGTGAATCAACTGGAAATAAAGTTCTTGGTCACCATAATTTTCTAAACTAGGCTATAACCTTTATGTTACTTTTTTTAGCAGTCATTACAAGGCTTGTCAGCCCACGGGAACACTTAAAATATGGGTGGGAAATTTCCAGAACTTTGACATAAAAAATAATTTCACTTTCAAACTAATGTCAGTAGATAGCAACAAAATGTAAGAGTATCATCAGTGTCTTCTAATGAGGTTTTCTTCATTTATTTACTGCAACTCACTAAAAATATTCCACACCTGCCCAACGATATCTGGATTCCTAACTACCCAGAAAACTATTGGTGTTCAGCCAAGAAAGAGAAAGATCAAAGACTGTCTTGTTTCCATCCCTATATTATTAGTTGGCTAACATGGTTACAGAATTCTTACCCTAAGGGAAAGCTTTCTACCAAAAATAATAATAATAATCAAAGAAAGAAAGAGAAGTCTTTTGAGATGAAAGAGAAGTCTTTTGAGATAAAAGCTGCTTTTGTATAAAATATAAACTTTCATTTTATTATTATTATTGTAAATCATGAAGAGATTATCTTAAATAATATATTGAGTTATTTTAGAGAGTCATAAAAGATCTGAAGAGGTTGTTGTCTTAAATCCCAAACTGGTACTTGAGCTCAGCGGTGTCATTGTGGATGCGTTGGTGCGCACCTATACACAGACCTGCTGCAGTCTGATGACAATCAGACTGACAGATGGAGGGTTTGACAGAACAAGTCAGGATCATAGACTCTTCCTGATTCAGAGACATTGGTGTTTAATTGGGGGAAGAGAAAACTTTATTACAGTTAAGTATTTTAATAACAGAGATTTAGTCTTTTGGAAAATGAAAGTATCTAACTTCTCCCTAATGAGCCTCCTTTCCTTTCAACTAAATGAGCTACGCTGGCTTTTATTTCATTGACCAAAGGAAGTGTTTCTTGAAGATTTTCTGGAATACTATGCCTTTACACTATTTTTAAAGACTGAGAAATAATGTGAAATGGGAGCAGGGCCCCACGCCAGCCGTGCTGGCCTTAGGCATCATCCATATCTCGAAACGTCAGGAAAGCCGCCTCATAACCCACATTTCCCTTCCCACCACCCACCCCAGGAATCCTTCCCAGTGCTCATTAGGCATTTGCTACGTAAATAGTCCAAATTTAGGTTATTCTCGCAATCTGACACATTAATCAAATGTTCAATTTTAAAATGTATCCACCATCTCAAGCTGAAATCCTCTGTGCTATTAAATGAAAAAGGATCTATTTATTTTTTACACAATCTCAGAATACCGTGTGTACTTTTGCTGTGCTTTCATGAATGTTTACTTACCCTACAGAGCACACATATTGGATTGTAACCCTGTGGTGAAGCTGTATATGTTGTGCTCAATGTTGCAAACTAACAAATAAACTTTTGTTGCCAAATCATTGATCCTTTTTTTTTCTCCAGGAGCTTACGTGCCTCAAAGAAAAAGTCATGGTGTGGTTGGATGGAGACAGGCATATCCCCCGCCGTCCCACTGCCAGGTTTCGAATAAGCAAGGGTTCTTTGATTACATTTGTCAGGATCAGGGATGCTCCTGTCAATCAGTGTTTCTCGACCTTGGCACTATTGACATTCGGGACTGGGAAATTCTTTGCCACAGAAGGTTGCCCTGCACATTGTAGGGTGTTTAGCAGCACCCCTGGTTCCTGCCCTCTAGATGCCAGGAATCACTTCCTCCCAGTCATGACAACCAAACGTGTCTCCCAGCATTGCCACAGGTCCCCTGGGGAGCAACAGTACCACTGGGTGAGCACCACTGGGTGAGGACCACTGGTGCAAATACTGCATTGAAGGGGTGGAGCCTGAGGCTCTAGGATATGTTAGGCTAGAGGAGGAGGAGCCTGTAGCCCCTTGTCTGGGGAACCCCAGCAGGAGCCTGAAAACCAAAGTGTCCTCCTCAGCCACCCAAGACCCAGAGACTCTGACCTTTACTGCAAACCAGAGGGAGAAAAGAAAAAGCCACAAGACAAACAAGTGGTGTCTGTGCCTGGGAATAAACCAACTTAGACTCAAGTAAACTAGAGGTAAATTCATTAGACTTAGAGGTAAATGCTCTTTGAATTCACGAAATAAATTATTAGAATTTATGTGAATAAGGCATGGAGACTCCTGGGCACTTTATTCAGTAATAAAAAGGTATGAATATGCTTATATAAAGAAGAAGTCTCAAGTCAGCCAGAGTATAAAGTCAAATAAAAACAAACTCTGGACATTGACAAGGGGAGACTTTATTCGAAAGGATTATTACAAGAGGGGAAAAGGGACTCTGGCAGTGGGGGTAGGGAATGTTGCAATAGGGAGAATGCTCCAGCCGTGAGATGCTCAAGTGACTCAGAGGTTAGGCACAAAGGGGTGTATTTTCTCTGGAGGAGTAAACAAGACTAGAAAGAACCTGTGCAGAGAGTGGGGTGGGTAAGGCCAGCCAGCGGGAGGCAGCATGACAGAACAAATCGGCCCGTTCTCGGCGGGGGTCCTTCAGGAGGGGCTGGATCAGGCTGTGGATGGGGCAAAGTTTAGGTGCCTGGAGAATGAAGTTAGAAGAGTCACACTCCCTGATGTCAAACTATACTATAAAGCTATAGTCATCAAAACAGCATGGTACTGGCATAAAAACAGGCACAAAAATCAATGAAAAAGAATAGAGAACCCAGAAATAAACCAATGCCTATATACAATCAACCAATCTATCACAAAAAGAGTCAAGAATATGCAATGGGGTAAAGATAATCTATAATAAATAATGTTGCAAAAACTGGATACACACATGCAAAAAGAGTGAAACTAGACCACCTTCTTATACTATACACAAGAATAAATGCAAAATGGATTAAAGACTTCAATGTAAGACTCAAAACCATACAACTCCTAGAAAAAAAAACATCAGCAATAAACTCTCTAAAATTCCTCTTAGTAATATTTTTCTGATCTATCATTTTAAACAAGGGAAACAGAAGAAAAAAAATAAACAAATGGAACTACATCAAACTCAAAAGGTTTTCCACAGCAAAGAAAACCACCAACAAAATGAAAAGATAGCCTCCTGAGTGGGAGAAGATACTCACCAATGATCTATACAATCAGGGGTTAATATCTAAACTTTATAAAGGACTCATATATCTTAATACCAAAAAACACAAACAATCCAATTAAAAATAGGCAGAGTACCTGAACAGACACTTCTCCTAAGAGAACATACAGATGGCCAGCAGCTTATGAAAAGATGCTCAATCTCAGCAATCATTAGGGAAATGTAGACTGAAGCCACAATGATGTATCACTTCACATCTGTCAGAACGGGTGTCATCAATAAATACACACAAGTACCAATAACAAGTGTTGGCGCAGATGTGGAGAAAAGGGGACCCCCTTGTACTGTTGCTAGGAATACATATTAGTGCAGCCACTATGGAACATAGTATGGATTTTCCTCAAACAATGAAATTGAACTATCTTGTGACCCAGCAATTTTACTTTGGGTATGTAGGTAAAGTAGTCTAAAACACTAATTCAAAAAGATATATGCACCCCTATGTTTATTTCAGTGTTATTTACAATAGCCAACATATAGAAGAAGCAACCTAATTCAATAAATTGTTTGTTTAAAACTTGATGGTACATATATACAATGGAATATTGCTTGGCTATGAAAAATAATGAATCTTACCATTTGCAACAATGGGGATGGACCTCAAGAGTATTATGCTAAGTGAAATAAGTCAAACAAAGAAAGATAAAAACCATATGATTTCATTTCTACATGGAGTCTAAAGAACAAACTAAACAGGCTCATAGATCTCGAGAACAGACTGATGGCTGCCAGACTGCAGGTGGGTTGGGAGCTGGGTGAAAGAGGTGAAATGATTAAGAAATACTAATCAATAGTTACAAAATAGTCAATAGGAATGTAAAGTACAGCATAGGAAATATAGTCAATAATATTGTAATAACTATTTATAGTGCCAGGTGTACTATAAATTATCAGAATTATCAGGGGTGAAAACTTCCTAAATTATATAAATATATAACCACCATGCTAAACATTAAAACCTGAAACTAATATTGAATGTCAACTAATATTGAATGTCAACTCTAATTGGAAAATTAAAAAATGAGGTTAAGTGCAGGGATAGAATAGCAAAGGCAGGAACGTAGAGTCCCGCCTGCATGTGTCCCCCAGTACATCACTAAAGGTTTTGAATGGTTTTACCACAACGAATAAAGTATACGGTTTGGATGAAGTGGCCTCTGAGATCGCTTCCAGCCGGGATGTCCTACAAACTGCAGTTTGGCCGAGAAGGCAAAGGTGATGTGAACACGAGGAGCAAAGCAACCGTATGGAATTCGGTGTCTCAGGAGAATAAAGATAAGAGGGACCTTCTGTGAAACACTGAGCAGCAGTTTGCTCCTTTGCTCCCTCAGTGAGAGGAGCAAGAGGCAGAAAAATCAAGTTTAGAGCAATTTTGGATAAAGAGAAGAAAAATTTCAGACTTTTCAGACACACACACACACACACACACAATGTATTATAACTGTAATTGTTAATACTTGCATGGCCTAGGCTCTTTGGAAAATCTGAGGAAACTTGAGCACAGAATCCAGGGATCATCTGTACAGTTTCGAGGGGATCGTCCGAGCCATTCTCACTGCCCGGCTCCAGGTCCCGCATCTCCAGAGAGCAGAGGCCGTGTCTTCTTCACATGCTGGCAGTTTCCAGATCCTGCCTCTGGCACCTCGTCTGTCTTGGTATGTCATGGATCTTCACACGTATTTGTTTGAAAACAAACCCCACCCCCTTGGAGTTCATGTGTTTATGAGGAAAAAAATGTCAAAAGGGTCAGATACTATCCTGAAACAATGCTATTTTAAAGGAATTTTTGCATAGAACATGCTCTCATCAAAGAGAGAGTAGGGGGAGGAAAGTAGGAAGGAAAGGAGTGAGGGAGGGAGACAGAGGGAGGGAGGGAGAAAGGAGGGAGGAAGGAGGGGAGAAAGAGAAAGAGGAAGGAAGGAAGGGGGGAAGAAAAGAAAGAAAGAAAGAAAGAAAGAAAGAAAGAAAGAAAGAAAGAAAGAAAGAAAGAAAGAAAGAAAGAAAGAAAGAAAGAAAGAAAGAAAGAAAGAAAGAAAGAAAGAGAGAGAGAAAGAAAAAGATGAAGAGAGAAAAAGGAAGAGGGAGGAAGGGAGATTGAAAGAGATTGAGAGAGGAAAGGAAGAAAGGGAAAGATGGAAAGAAAAAAAATGAAGAAATCTATATGACTCTTCAAGAAATACACTACTTTTAAAGTAAGAAAATTCTAAATCCACCAGAAGTCCAGAACTGAGTTTATAAGACATACGCCATGGCTAATACATGACAAGATAAATGTCCACATTGGCTGCTTCATGCTACAGCGAAAGCCTTGAGCCCCATTCAAGGCTCCTAAGCAGGTTCCTATTCAATGGCAAGGGATTTTTCCAGTCTCCTCAAAGGGTCAGGGGTGAGGTCCTGATGGGGAGCCCCAACCCAGCCATATGGACTTCTTCCTCCACCGAGATTTGCTGAAAGCAGAGGAAACAGTTTTAACTACCTGCCACTGAAAGCAAATGAGATATTTTACTTTTAATTAAAAACTACAATGGTTTAGCCCTGGCTGGTGTAGCTCAGGGGACTGAATGAGGGCTGCGAACCAGGCATCGCAGGTTTGATTCCCAGCCAGGGCACATGCCTGGGTTGCAGGCCACAGCCCCCAGCAACCTCACACTGATATTTCTCTCTCTCTCTCTTTCTCTCTCCCTTCCCTCTCTAAAAATAAATAAATAAATAATTTTTTTTAATTACAATGGTTTGGATAGTAAATTTAATGTTATTTCTTTTTACCATCATAAAAAAAGTCATGCAAAAATGCACTGGCTACAACAGAACTCCCACATGTACCTCTAAAGAAATAATAAGAAGCCATAAAATTTTTAAACAGCCTGGTAGCATCTGGCTAACATGAAGGCATCAGCCTTTGTGAGCTTGGTATCCAACTCGCAGGAAAGAGACTCAGAAAAGGAGTCGAGTCCCTGGCATTCCGATAGGCATTCATATTTAGCCGTTCAGTCCACAAACATGTATTGGGCACCAGGCATGACAAGTACCATTCTAAATGATAGAAAAAAAACACAAAAGAGAAGGTCCTTGGCATTTTAGAATTTCCGTTCTCATGAGGATTACAAATGCTGAGCCATAATAAAAAGACATCATATAAAATAAATGTAATTGGGCATGCCGCAGGGGGAGGAGGAAAGAGTAATGAGAAACATTACTTCAGCTCATGCCTAACTCCGGCAGTTTCAAGTTGCTCTTTAGGTAAATGTGAAAGTTTCCAAAGTCAAAATTATCACTCGACATGGCCCCTGA